CACATACATACACATACATACACATACATACACATACATACACATACATACACATACATACACATACATACACATACATACACATACATACACATACATACACATACATACACATACATATACATATACATACATATACATACATATACATATATATATATACACATATACACTAAGCATTACATAATGTTAAAATATTATTTCAGTGATAACTTAATTACTGAAGTAAAAGTAGACTTTTTGAACAAATTTTGAAAATTGAGTTGTAAGTTTGCAATATGAATGACCGAGACACTCAATGATACTCACATCAATACAAAGAAAGAGATCAAATTCTTACCTTCACCATGTTTATCAGTAAACTGGAAGGCTTGAACGAGCCTTAGAGTTTCATCTACAGATCGTCCAACAGGAAGATCATTAATTGTTATTTGTCGCAACTTTCCTTTATCATCAATGATGAAGAGACCTCTGAGTGAACAAACAAAAATACATTAATTTATTTATATACCTACTGTAAATTACCAAAGAAATAATGATATGAAAAGTGAAAAATAAAAGTTGCATACTACAAAATGTGAATCTTACAATTCAAAACCAGGTTTCATCCTCATTCCCCATTGATAAAAACCACACACAAAAAAAAAAAAGATTTCAAATACAAACTGAATAATTTAAGATATTTCTAAGTTTGTTTTAAAATAATCAGTGGTCATGCTTTACTCTAAAATTAATACACAGCTTCTAAAATATTTTTTTTCAACAACAACAAAAATATGCCTTGATATATATTGCATCAAAATAGTTGTTTTCCCAATATAAAATAATTACACATTAACGAGCTTTTTTTAAAATGCAAAAAGTACATTCAAATAGCAACATGTTACCTACTGTTTCTACTGCCAAACACATGTACAGTGGGATACAAGATAACTCTAAAGCTATACCTTAAGCTCCCATATTGTTGAACGATTAGAAACATTTCTTTACAAGTCACCTGTTACGGCAATACCGTATACACTTTTCCCACATGGTTCAGTGTTATTTTACAACAGGTGGAGCCTTAAGTGTTGCATTTGTAACTAATCAAGGGAAAGAAATAACCCACTTTATTTAATAGTACTTAAACAAAGTGAAACAAAAAAAAGCAAAAAAGTAGCATTTTAGATAATCTTCAAGTAGTCTAAATGTAAAATCATGTAACATAAAAATTAGGATAAGAAATTATTTGTGAAATAAAACTTTACATAATTATAACCATCATACAAATTTTGAAAACCATCAGGGAATAAAAAAGAAAGTCTAAAAACACCCAAGGTAATACATGTAAAACAGGAACAAGTGTCTGAAAATATAATGAATAATCTAACAAAAGTAACCAGTATTAAAGGACTTAAAATATATAAAAACAAGAGTTCAGTACTAAAAATAAAAAAACAACAAATCAGACTTGTAAATTTTTGATGTAATGAATCATTTTACAAGTTAAATATTACATAAACAAAACAACAACACTATGTGAGGTTTACATTTAAGTAAAATCAAACAGAATAAATATATATAAAATAGTGATTATAAATAATACTGACAAAACCAAGTACCTGAATGAAATCCCTTCATCTTCCTTCAGTACTCCATAAGATTTGGCAATCTCACTACTCTTATCCGATAAAAGGGGAATTTTCATTTTTCCAAGACCACCTTCTTTTCTTGGAGTGTTGATCCTGGTGAAATTCGAAGTAAACACTGTTATTGAAATAAGCATTAAAGTACGGAAATTATAGCAAGACAACGTTTTCTAACTTTTTATATTACAGCAGGATAAAAGCATTAAACACTGTCTTTGTTGTGGAGTAGTTAAAACCAAGTTTAAAAACCATAAGCTGGGGTACATATAAAACAGTTATCTGTTACACTGTTTATGATGATGATGATGATCACAAAGATGAGTCTGACCTACAAATGACAAATTTTATTCACCACCATTTTGAATCTTTGTTTCAAAATCTTTAAATAGTATTGGGTCACAAACCAAATAATTCCATGTATTTAAAACATCAATTTAACCCTAAGCTGCTATCAATGCACAGTGTTTACAAAACAAACATGCAGCTTTAATAGGAAATGTTAACAAATCAAAGAAATAGACTCGAAACGAGTAGTGTATGAAGTTCTAAATCCTAAAAGGGTTGTCAAAGAACATGTAAAAAAAGAATATAATTTATATATTTATATAAATAAATAATAAAAACATTGTTATTGAGAGGAACAGTAGCAGTCATGAACCCAACAATATCAGAAGTATATGGTCAGGTTCAGAAACATTACACTTAAGTATTTGATCTTCATTTTCTTTATTTCAAATAACTACATTTTGTGACTTATGAGAAACTTAGTGGACCTTTACCCACATACTACCACAAATCCTAAAATAAACATACCAGGCCAGATGACTAAAATGGCTGTCAGTTGAACAAGCTATAACTTCACAACCAATCTCCTTAAACTCTTCGATTCTATCACTAAAGGCAATGATTTCAGTTGGACAAACAAATGTGCTGAAGAGAGAGAAAAAGTAAATACATCAAAAAATAGTTTGATTAAAATTAATAAAGTTTAGTATTTCTTTTATACAAACTCTTAATGTTTACCAATAGCAGTTTAGGAATGTTTTATTTATTACATACAGATATTTATAAATACATACAAAATATAGCCATTATGTTACATATTAATTTCCAATCACAGCAAGTTATCCAACACACACACACACACATCAAAACTGACATGCACCATCCCAAGTTGAATCTTTTTTAGTAAAAATTTCTAACCTAGCTTCAATCATTAGTACTTCATTATACCCTTCCTCCAACTTAAAAAAAACAAAAATTCACTAAATTTAACAACCAAAGTATAAACATCTTTTTGTAAAATTCAAGAAGTGTCATGAAATAAGTCATCTCTTTCAAACAGCCACAAAAAACATTTAATTTGTGAAATCATGAAGCTGATGCTAACAAGTTAAGATATCTTACAAATTTCCAAAATTGGCTGAAGAATTACAAAAAAAAAAAACTCGCTTTTAATTCCCTGTAATGCTTACTTTTGTAACCTAACTCTTGATTCAAAAAGGTCACTATTTCTTTAGTGGAAGTTAACTTTCAGATTTTAGTTGAATAAAATAAAAATGATAGATAGAGTGAATTTGAAGAAATCAAGATTCAGATTTTATTTTAAATTAGCAAACACAGAAAATATTTTAATAATTTGAATTTCATTTGTAAACTAAGTCGTAATCAGAGTAATAGGAGTTATTTGTCAAGCAGTAACTACAGTTCACCGTTTCAATAAAAGTATCTGCACATTTTTTATTTTTTTTTTTAAATACAATCACTAGTAATGTGTCAGAAATGTGCTTTCAAAACTTGTTGTAGAGATTGTTATATTCCTCATACGCCCTCCTGTATTTTGCTTAAAGTAGATTTATATCACTATCCTAGAGCACAGATATACTTATAATGACTTAATACACTAATGCATTATACTACACCAACTTATGCCTTATCACTATAATGACTATGCTTTTTTAAGATTATTCAAATTGGCCAGGTACATGTTTGGAAAGTTGACTTTTTTTTTAATGACTTGCAACCTTTAACAGATATAAACATAACACAAGCTAGGTATACTTCTAATGCTCTTATTACCAAAACTACTGTTAATCATTTAGAAAAGAGAAGATACAATGAGAAAACGTTTCAAATTTTCTGGTAAAAAAACAAAATTGTGATATTAATAAAATCTATTCATGATGAAAACTATTCGGAACACACAACTTATTAAATTATAATTATTTGTTGAACAAAT